CTTGTGGACACCAAGAATGCAAGCAGTACCCTCAGCTCAGCTGTGCACTCCCAGTGTGTCACTAGGCTGGTATTCTCTCCACACAGGTACTGTTTGTCATCAGGGGTTTGGAAGGGATGGGTTGGGCCAGTGGTGAGGGGTAGGAATGGAGTGATAAGGAATGTATCTATTGGCACAGCATTAGCTGGTTACATTGTTCCTTAGATGGAACAATGTAAGTACTTGAGCTTGGTCTTCCTAAGCTAGTCAGTACAGTTCTTATTAGGGTTGCATAGTCTAAAAACAGCTGAAATGTGATCTCATACCTGTTCAACACAGCTTGATTGATGTTAGGCTTCTGGCACCATGTGCTTAAGGAGCCTGATTCTGGGTAATTGCTAATGTAGAGAGGGACCCATTGGGTAGTTGGTTACCAGGGTGGTTTCTATGAGTACTGTCTCTGTTCCATTTTTATTGGAATTATAATGGCAGGAAGACCTTAACCCAAAGTGGGTATCAGGCTGCCTTTTCCCCTGGCTCAGTTTATGGTGAGTTTGGGGCTGGTGCAGTCAGATTTTGGTTATGGAATCTAGACTTTATCTTCTCTCCCCTTTGTTCCCTCTCCTAGTGCTCCCTTTCTGGCCTCTCTCAGTGAAGACTGCTCAATTGCTGTGCTGGATTCAAGCCTTTCTGAGGTGTAAGTTTGAAGTAGAACCCTGTGGTTAGGAATCAGGCATCAAGACCAATGGGCAAGCAGGTCTGTTTTGTCTTCAGGAACTTGCATGTAGAATTCTTCCTTTGTTGGGACTGGAGAAAAGCTCAGTAGTTAAGAATACTTCCTTTTGTTCCCAGCTTCCACATCCGTCTGCTCCCAGCTGTCTGTCACTCCAGATCGAAGGCATGTGATGCCTCTGCTTCTGTGGGCCTCTGCACTTGGGTGCACATACCCACTTACACATTATTAGAAATAAATAGAAGAAAATTCTCCATCTTTGTCTGTAGAGGTTCTCTCCATTTGTGTCTGTGTGTCTGCAGAGACTGAACACTGGAAGCAGTCTGATTGTAGGCTAAGTCTAGCTAGCATCCCAGCTTCACGGAGGGAACCCCTGCTGTGAAGTGAAACCTGCTATAGAGAGAAAGGCATGGGAAGGAAGACCCCGGTGTACATCTCTCTCTGCTATGACTTCCTGCTTGGTTGTAGATATACTACTTCTTTGCTCTGCATACTATTTCTTCCCCTAGGAAAGTAGACTGGATTGGATTGAACATCCACTGTCCTGGTGATAAGCTGTACAAATGGTGAAATGTTTAAAAACAATGTGTCCTGATTATGTTAGGTTTTCTTTCTGTCTTCTTCCCACCTCGGTTTTTGTGTTATCTCTTACCACACACCCACTTTTGTTCCAGGTTTAGAAGTCGAGCCCACAGAGACTTCGTGAGAGATGCTACGTGGTCTCCACTTAACCACTCCCTCCTTACCACAGTTGGCTGGGACCATCAAGTCATCCACCATGTTGTGCCCATTGAGCCTCTCCCAGCCCCTGGACCTGAGAATGCCTCAGAGTAGAATGGATTTCAGAAAAAAAAAAAAAAAA